TTTGAGGAGAAAGCAAAAATATGGCGTGTTCAGTTTTTTGAACAAGACCTTGACTCACGCTTAAACTTTCACTCACGATGACTTTATACTTCCTACAAAAACGATTTCGGTATAGATCTATCTACACAATTCCACACACAAAGCATGACTAAAATTTTAGTCATATTTTTAGGCGCTTTCACACTGTACCATGTGTTGTAATTGCCTCCGCCTGTCGATAACATTATATATATATATATATATATATATATATATATATATAACCTCACCTCTTTTTCTTTTTTTTTCTCTCCTTCTCACATTTTCTGATCTGTATGTCACCACAAAATGTATCCTTTCCGGTTACATCTTTAATGTATTAGACATACGGGAACTTTCATATTTCTCTCATTTAAACCGTCTTTGACACCCCTTTCTAAAACTTCTCTCTGTTAAATTTTAATCCCCCCTTCATCTTTAGACCTTCCTGTTCTTCTCTCGTCTGTTACCCCTCTCTTAAAAATATTGAATGGCGATAATTTACCCATCGAACCCAGTTATGTATGTATATATATATATATATATATATATATATATATATATATATATATATGCGTGTGTGTGCAAAAGTAAAAGACAATAAGAAAACTGTATTATTAGCTGACACGTTTCGTCTAACCTGGACATTTTCAAGGCAAAAACGAAATGAAATTATTGAAAACCATGTAACTATTAACAACAAACAAAATATCCTTATCAACGAGAAGAATTTAGAAAACGCTATTGTAGTCATATTGCCAACTGAAAATTACATCAAATACTTTTCACGTATTGCTTTTATTGTTGTGTTGTGTTCGTGAAAGCACTTTATTCCATAAGTATAGCATGCCTTAAAACACTCTCTCTTTATATATATATATATATATATATATATATATATATATATATATATATATATATATAGTTAAATTCCCAGATCAATTCTGTGGACAAGACAGATTGGTATAAAATGACAATTGGAAAAAAAAATCTTAGATTTTACCGACGCGTTTCTTCCGACTTTTTCAAAGCAAAAATGAAATGGAAATGTTTTTTGTTATCAGTGTTACATTAAAAAATCCAAATTTAAAACAGAAGCGTCTATCTTTTTAAATTTTGATTTTTTAATGTAACTATAACAAAGAACATTTCGATTTCACTTTTGCCTTGAAAAAGTTGGAAGACGAAACGCGTCGGCAAAAACTAAGATTTTTTTTTTTTCAATTGGCATTTTATACCATATAATATATATATATATATATATATATATATATATATCATGCACTCTATTATTTAATATATTTTTGTCCATACGTTACTTTTTTATAGATACAATTTATTTAAGTAAACGCTCTGGTCTTTAAATAAACAGCATTAATTACCTTTACCGAACTGAATTTTCAAGAAATTTCATGTAAAACATAATTTCTCTGACAGGAATCGAACCTATATTGGTAAATGTAATTAATATTGTTTTAATTAGAAACAGACCATTTACTTAAAGACAATGTAGCTATAAAAAATAAAGTATAAACAGAAAATATATTAAATAATTGTCGGACTTATTCCAATTTCATGATATGTTGTCATTCTTTACGTTAAGGTACGTTTTATGAGCAGAAAAGACCGATCAGGTAAAATCGTCGAAGATTGTATGTCACTAAACATTTGATAAAATGGCGGTTTCCGTATAGGAATACAGGTTCGATTCTTGTCGCAGAGCGCATATTTCTACGAAATTTCTCGAACATTCAGCACAGTAAACGTAATTAATACTGTTTAAATGAAAATAGAGCATTTACTTAAATGAATAAATAAATAAAAATAACATATAAACACCATATATATATATATATATATATATATATGTATATATATTTATATCTATATATATATATATATATATATATATATATATGTATATATATATAATTATTTATTTAAAAATATGATTCCAAATCGCTACATAAGAGGTCTCATGTTTCAAAACAAGAGCCGAAAACTTCAATATAATCCTTTAAATTAAATTGAGTTGAAATTAAAAAGGGCTCCGTTCCATCTTCAAGCGAAATTTTTGTTGGAATAACGTATATCTGAAATTTACTTGTTTTAAAAATTGTAATCAAAATCACCATGGTAAAAGCTAGGACGAATTGTCTAAAATGGGTAGGCGAGTGTAGGGTGTTAATGATGAGTAGCGGTATAGAGATACTTTCAAGGTGTCAAGTCGGGGGGAAGGTGAGGGTGTCAAAAATGAAACGAAGATGTATTAAGCTTTCGTCAAGTTGGCTTGTCTATGGAAATTTATTTATTTATTTTATTTTATTTTATTATGAAAGGAATTGTGCTTATAAAAAAAAAAAACTTTCGTAACGTTTGTTTTTTGACGACTTCATAAAGGGTTATCTTTTTATGTAAGGTATTTAAACTACTAATTTGGGCTATGGGTTATGAAGGGTGTTATGTTGTATGCAAGTTTGTAGTTAAAAATTTCTACTATGAATCTGATGATTGGGTTATTTGTTAAACAAGTTATATAATTTTTTTTTTTTTAATTCAAACCAAAAATCTGATGATGCCTACAAAAACCGTTAACTTGTCGGAGTTACCTCCTCCTTCAGTTTGTAACCCTTTCACCAGAGGTCTCTCTTTCCTGGCTATAAATAGCCAATGACCCTTCGCTTCGCTCTCTCTTTTTATATTTCAGGCTTGTGCACTAACGCACCGAGGTAAATTTCTCTTCTTCCTAGAGGATTTCAACTATCAACCTCAAAATGTAGTCCCTAACAAAGAAATAGCGTGAAATCACGCTAAAAATATAATACACACACGCTCGCACAGACGGAATATTCCCACACACTTTGTCCTTTGTACTGTTTTCTTGTATTGTAACTTGTTATGAATATATATTTGTTGTGTATACATATATTATCGGTCTTGTTTTTGTTTGCTTTCTTTTCCTTCTTCTTTGGACTTAACCAAGTCCAACCTTTTTATGTAGTTGGGCCGGCTAGCAGGAGAATCTGAACCTTACAGGCGTTTCGTCCACGTCTGTCTTCTCTCAACAAACCGTAACCGCCAACATAACAGCCACGGCCCTCTACAAACTCGTGTCTATTATTTAATAGATTATTATTGTTTAGAAGTTTAATAATGTGCAATTTTTCATGGAGGCACAAAGGGCATGGGTCATCCCAAGCTTTACATATTCTAGCCTTGTCAATAATTTTCCATTTAACTTTTGGTGTCTTATTTGTTTCCTTCAAGTGCAAAAAATATTTTGATAGTGAAGTCTGGTTTCTTTTGTTTATATTATTAAAGGAGCACTTATGCTGCCTCCATCTATCTTTAAAATTATTCTTCGTGGACCCAATGTATATCATATTAGTGCTAGGGCTCTCTGTGGATGAAATAGTGCATTGGTATACCACAGAATTAATACAACATGTGTGTGTGTGTGCGCGTGTTTGTGTGTGTGTAATATGAAAAATATTGCAAATATTACCCTTTTCCGCTACCGTAGTTTCTACCTATGAAGTCTCCCTCAATCATTGAAAAGATCTACAATTTTTTCATTTTATATACTTTGGGTGCTTCTGGAAAATTTCCCACCAACACCAAAAGTTGACTTCAATTTATACTTTTTAAACAGTATATATTACATGCAACGGTGGTCATTCTAAAAATTTTGAAGAAAATATGCGCTCCAGCAGGGATTGAACCCAGTTGTGCCCATTTGCAAGAGAAAACTACAGGGTGCTTTACCATATGATCAGTTTTATATCCGAAACGCAAACATGACAATTTCTACATTCTTAATGATTTATTTTTAATCTCACATTATTATTATTTCAAGCTTTATTACAATGGGTATTATGCACTATAATAAAGTTTGAAGTAATATATATTAAAACAACATGGCTGCCCGCATACATAATTCCGGAAAATCCTTGTTGACAACACAACTATATTTAAACATGGAAACAATAAACAAAAATTAAGAATTCTTGAAGCTTTATACATAAAACAGTTGAAAACTAACGCGAACAAAATAAACTATGAAATCTCCACAAATATCATTAAATGCCTATAATTGATAACAGAAGCCATTGGTTTATACCAACGGCTTTCCATACTTAATACTTCTCGTTTTCACTCTCGCGTGTTCATGTGTGACGTCACGATCTGCGACGCGATTTTCGCTTCCGCCTCTCGTATTTAGGAGTTTGTCGTTACTTGGAAATTTTCATGCAGCAAGGGTGGACTATCATTGTTGTTTCATTCGTTGTTGTTTGATTTATTGAAATTGTCATCTTGGATAATGGCTTGTGTAAGCCGAAATGTTAGATTGGATTTAAACATGTATCAATATGGTGTTTTCCACTCGTCTTTCAACGATAATGTGATTAAGCTTATCAGACAATATGAAAGGAATTTAATTAAAATAAATAGACAAAACTTGTCTATATTATTTAATGAAACATCCATTAATATATATATATATATATATATATATATATATATATATATAATAAGAAAGAACAGTTAGATTTATAATCAAAAGTTCTTTAGTATATATATTTTTTCATTTTTAAAAACAGTGCTTGATACAAAGTAAAGCATAAAATTATAAGTATAATTTTTTTTAAAAATATATCCCCATCGCAACACAGAAATTACTAAGTTTCGAAACCGAAACTCAAATCTTAAAGATTAATTTCAAAATTGAACTTGAAATTTAGAGCACGGTTTCATTCTCAAGCGATGTTAAGAATTACTCTAATAATAAAGATGCCGATTATTTAAAGCCAGGAAATATTGTCAGATTTTTGGGGCGATAATAATGATTTAATGATATAAGTTTTTCTAAATAACCCATAGAAGGAGGGAAAGGGTTAAATTCATGTCTTTCCGATGGATATTTGCGCGTAAGTGAATATAGCAAACTTAACCGGAAATGGAACTTCATTATTCAACCCATCTTACAACCCCAGGCATTTCCAAGTGGTCACCCAACTAGGTACTGACCACACTCGACGTTACTTAACTGCGGTGATCGAACGAAGACCGGTGTATGAACATGATGCGATTGTAATCAGAAAAGAGCTATAATATTAAGTATGGGTAACATAAATGAAATCGTCGAGAGTAAAACCAGTGTGGCAATTTCACATTCCTAAACATATTTGTTATCCTGGGTATGACGATAAACTACATCCGGCAGCAAGGCCACTGATCGGGAGGTTTTGAGAAGCGTCGAACTACCACGTAATTTTTGTTGTTCTCAGGCCTATTCTGACCCGGGTTGTAGCACCTGCTAGGGTGTTAGCTATGGGCAGATAGTTAGGCCCTAACCTGAGATCAAAAAGCTATGGAAATATAGATATAAATTTTTATAGTACAAATACATTTTTAAAAAATTACCAGCAAGACATTTTTGAAAACAAAATAGTACCAGCAATAAATTTTTAAAAAAATATTGCCAGCAATACATTTTTGAAGAAAAAATATTACCAGCGATATGTTTTTATAAAATAAATTTCTAATGCTCCCAAGAAAATAAAATTTCACGTTAAATGATCCATAAGGAATTGATATGCCACTAAACAAACAAAAAAACGTATCTATTCTAAAAATCTTGTTGGAATTAAATAACTAATTGAAGTTGATATGCCGTAAAAGAAAATAAACCCAAGCCATATCCATTAACCAAAGAAATATATGATGCCAACAGTATTTCATAATAAATACAGCCCTATAATAGATGACAGATTCTTTTATGAAAATAATTAACCAACACGGTACCCTAGCTAATAACAACGTTATGACGCGAGCTCATGTTTCTGGCGAGTGTCACAGAAAAATTATAGCTCCCTTAATGATGGTAATAAAATAAATTATTATAATCAATATAACTCCCTTGACATGAAATCTTTGTCCATCTTGTTAGAAAATATTCAAAAGATACTAAATTAATGACAATTTACACGTATTTTGCAAGAAATTAATCCACTAAAAGTCATGTGGTTGATCGTAAAATATTATATATGGGAACGGAAAAATTATGTTCAAGTACAGATTGTGAGGATAAAAAAGGAAATATTAAAGTTCAAACACTGGCTAAATTAATATTATCGGTGACTATGAGTCAGATGACGATTATTATTTTAGTGTGCTGGAGTTTCTGTTGCTCATATATTGTTTGGAATTATTCTTAAAAAGATTTTATGCTGAACATCATATTTTTGCATAATAAAATATGACACCAACCAAATTATTTTCCATAATTGCAATAATGATTGATAATAGAGCCTGAATACCATGGTAATATATTCCTTATTGGAATAACATTATATCCGAAAACTTTATCAAAAGCGAATAACCACAATTTTATTCCGAAAATATAAGCTTAGACAGCAGAAAGAAATTAGGTTGCTTTTAAATAAATGTTCGATTTTAGAATCAATATTATTTTCTTAATTAATTTAAACGGTGTTTAATTAAGTTAAAAAGGAAACATGAACAACTATACATTTCTACTATGGAGTTTGTTTTAATTAGCATTACCCCATGCAAAGCAGTAAAGTCCTTAAGTCACAAGTGATTACAGGGTGTGGAAGAATTATGAACAGAAACATTGATAATGAGCGAGAGAAAGAAAGAATAATCAGGAAGACAGTAGACATCGATTGGCATTGCATTTAAATTTTTCCAGATTAAAGTTGACTGGAAAGTATGGAATCAGGAGGGAGTTCCACAAGCGGGAAGTGCGACAAAAGAAACCGATAACATAGATCTTACAGCTACAACTGTAGATTGATGAGATCTAGATACGAGTCTCGTACTGTGCATAAATTTAAAAACAAATTAAGTACCATAGCGAAGAGCTCATCCGAACATTTACCATGAAAGTATTTATAGAAACGACACAGGGAAGCAACCTTACAGTGGTGGTAATGTATCTGAAGCAGAGCCACCAGATTCTTCTTTGGGTTTTATCAAGGCGCTTAAGGTAAATAGCAGGGATACCGGACTATTTGTGGCAGCAATATTTTAAGCATCGACGAATAGTAGACTTATATATAGTGTTACAAGTTTATTTATGCTTTTGCGATAAAGCTCTAAAGGTTTGGGTTCCTGCATCTTCTTTGTGGCGAATTTTTTTTTTTTGGCTTAAATACTAATTATTATAAAATAATAAGATATTTGAGAAAATGTCAGTCGGACAGTTTCTGTAATGTCATCATAGAAACATCTGAAGGAGGTTTGTCAAGAAGTAGAATCGGAACTCGATGATTAATCAGAGACTGTCGCGTTTTGCTTAACTGAATGTGCAATTCATCCAGTTGCTGGCAGTAAACTTCATCAGTGATGCTTCGTTTAGACCCCACAAAGCTGTAATTGCCAAATCTAACGGCGGGGTACCAAACAGCATAATCTTCTGTTGATGAAATTTCGGTTTGAGAAAATGAATATGTCCTTTGTCATGATTAAGCCATCGTGCCGAGTACTTCTGATTGCCTTAAAGGATCCATTTCTCACTACAAGTCAATAATCAACCAAGAAATGGATGATTGGTATGTTGCAGATGCAATAGCACACAGAATTCAAAACCTCGAAATCCGAGTTCATATGAAACATATTTATCGAAGATAATTTGCATGAGATGGTTCGCTATTGTGGAAATTCTAACACCCATTACTAGAGACATTTCTCTGACAATTTGACATCTGGATTATCATGGCTTGCATAGCAACTGCAAATCTTCAGAAAGCAACGCCGTACTCTGACATCTAAATTGGATCCTTCGGTCCCAGCCCTCAAAATATTGTTTGTCATTTGTTAAGAATTATGAACAAGCATTGATTTAAAGGTTTCTCATGTCTTTCATGTTTTAGACGGTGGGGTATAATTTTTTTATTCTAAAAGAGATTTATTATTAGTGAGTTTCTGCAGTGCATTTTCATGAAGTAGAATTGGACATCGTCGATTAACCAATGCCGATCCGACAATGCTTAATTCAATGTGTATTTCACCCACTTGCTGGCAGTAAACCTTGGAAATGACGAAATGGTTATATTCCAGAAAAGTATAATGATAACGCCAATGGCGAACCACCAGACAGTCACTATAAATTTGTGTTAGTGAAATTGCGATTTACAAAATAGTTTGGGAGCTTCGTCATGATCAAGCCATTGAACTAAACGTTTACGATTGGCATAAAAGATCTATTTCTCATCAAAAGTCACAAATCGACCAAGAAATGGATCATTCCATTATCGCAGAGGCAGCATCGAACATACTTCAAAATATCGAATTATTTGACTCACACTTATTGTAATACCCATTCATCTTGTCCATCTTGGGTATGACGATAAACTACACCCGCTTTCTTGGTAAGACGATAAACTACATTCAGCAGCAAGGCCTCTGATCAGGAGGTTTTGAAGAGTGTGAAACAACCTATTAATTGCTGTTCCCAGTTCCACTCTGATGCGGTGTGGTAGCAGAATGATGAGCTGTGATACAGCGAAACAGTCTCATATATATATATATATATATATATATATATATATATATATATATATATATATATATATATATATTATAATGCGATGTTATATTAGAACATGTACAAACCCACAAAGCGCTCGGATAAAAAGATCATTCGTACAGTTTTTGTATAAGTTATCATCTGAAAAGAAAAAAAATATATTAGATCGCATGAAAAGTTGTATAAAAAAATAAAGAACCTTGTCTGTCCTATTCAATGTAAAGTGCATCAAAGATGGAATGCTGCCGAAATAATATATATATATATATAAATATATATATATATATATATTGGTGTAAAAAAATTCAAAAAAATCTCTATCTGTAAAAGCAGCGTATACTTGGCTCACGATATCTTGATTGCCAAACAATCTGAAAATCTGAGAGAAGGAAAATTTTTCTTCTAAAATCAAAGAGATCCAACAGGAAAACATTCCACCATCTTTCCAAAGAAGTCAAGGAAATTCTCAGATAATAGCGTAAGTGAAACTGTAGAAAGCCATGATCCTGAAGGTGGATGATATTTAGAAAAAAATGTACTTTTTTCTATTCACTTATTGTTGTATTTTACTGTCTATTTCGACATCTATTTATCATATCTATGAATATATATTCCTCTCACAATATATCTATATATCCACAGCTTCGCACTCTTTCTCTCTTGATATTAATCTCTCACGATGCATCAACTCATGCACTGCATATTTTAAGAATGTATTTGCTCAACCGCATTTTGACTTCTGAGCCTCTGACCTTGAGCCTGTCGTTTGAGATTATTTCCAAAATATGCTTTTTTTCTTCCTGTTTTCGATGTAATTTATTCAGCATATGTTCGATATAATTTCGCCCAATATCGGTAAGAGACTTGTGTCAAAATCAACTATTAAATTCTTCTCCGATATTTCTTTCGGAAAATGAGCTTAAAGAAGAACAGGTCTCATTGTGTTTCGTTTCAAACTTTCCAATTAATAAAAATTAATTACCTATCCATCAGATGTCCGCTAAGGCGTGGATACCGCCTGTCACAGTATAACAGGTTTTTCCTCGCCCAGGTCATTTCGGCCATCTTGGCTAGGGTTTTCATTCCAGATGTAATGCATAAGATTTGAATAAATGTCAACGAATGAAATCTGAGTATCAGCTTTTCAAAATGTCTTCCTTCACTTTATGACGATTTTTTGATATTTTCTATGTTTGCTTAGTATGGCACAAGGACAAGAAACTTTTTTATTTATTTAACCATTTGGGCCTTACAATTCTGAAAAATTTTAAAACTCCTACCCGAACTCCTGCGTCAAAATTTGCAAATAATTGATATAAAATGTTTCACGGTATGCATAAAAGTAGTTGAGCACCTCGAAGTGGTGTAATGGTTAGCAAGCTTGTCTCGCTAGAACAATTACGAATGAGTAGTGAGTTCGATCCTCACTGGGTGCCCCTTACTTTCGGCCTTGTGCCATATCTACTGGGCACCTCAAAGTGGTGTAATGGTTAGCAAGCTTGTCTCACTATGACAATTACGATT